CTGCCACGCCATGTGGTCACCTCCGGGGCAGGCAGGGAATCGAACTCATGCGGAGGTGGCTTAGGCTTCTTTGTGCTGTGCTTTAACCCGCTGCGCCAACAGGGAGGGCCCGGTTTTTAATTTTTTAAAAAGATTTATTTATCAGACAAGAACTGGGGTACAGACCAGAGGTATGGGGGTATTTACCAGAGACACAGTGGGGAGCAGAACAGATGAGTTGACTGAAATACACAGCTGAAGGGAGCAGCAGGTGAGACAGCTGAGGTCTGCTGCCCCACGTGGGTCATCTAGAAGTCTGCTGCAGTGGCTGTGGAGAGCCTCATAATGCGGCGCTTTAACCCTTTCCGCCACCAGCGAGGGCCAAGAAATAGGTTTTTTAAAAAAGCCTATCATTGTAGATAATTGTAAAAATATAAATAAAGATGTATGAATTATCTGTTTGGCATGCGTTTTTCTGTTTATTTTATAAATATTTGCTCATTTAAGATTTTCAGAATGGGCCTCCCTGGTGGCGCAAGAGATTAAAGCACAGCATTATGAAGCTATCTGCAGCATGAGATCCATCCCCAGCAAGGGGAATTTTCACATTCCTAGGTGACCCACATGGCACAGCAGACCTCTCCTGCCTCTCCCACTGTTCCTCTCAGCAGTGTATTTTACCCAATCTGTCTGTTCTGTTTCCCACTCACTGGTGAATCATCTCATTCCCTACACCTCTGGCTTAAAGGTTAAATCTCAGTGCTAGTTCTTGTATGCATAAATAAACAAATATTTTCTAAAAAAGATTTTCAGAAAAGTAGATCATTTTGTAATATATGCATGCCATTTGTACCTTACTATGCTTTGAATACTATATGTCATTACATAGTTTTGTACATCATTTAACCCGTCAGAGTTTAAAGAACTTTGGACCATTACTCAGAGAAAGGAATTCATTTAATACCACAACACATAATTCAGCAATTCCTAAAGAACACAAAGGTTTTCAAAAGGAAACCTGCATCTTGATGTTTATTGCAACACTATTTACAATAACTGAGACATAGAAACAACCTAAATGTCCCCAAAACAGACAAATGGATCAAGATGATTTAGTATATATATCCAATGGAATACTACTCAGCAACGAAAAAGACAAACTCATGCCATTTGCAGCAACATGGATGAAGCTGGAAGGGATTATGCTTAGTGAAATAAGTCAGAAGGAAAAAGAAATATCAGATGGTTTCACTTATATGAGAAACTGAACAAAGGGTCAGTAAAAAGTCATGGATGATAACAAAGGAACAACTACAAGAATATTCATAACAACACTACTTATAATGGCAAAAAATTGGTAGTAAGCCATTTTTTTTTGTCTTCTGAGGGGAGAAATCAAATGCTATGTAACAATTTATAACGATGTAAGAAAATAAATTAATTAAATGAATTTAGAGAATACAGGGCTTCCCTGGTAGTCTAAAGGTTAAATCTCAGTGCTATTACCACAATGGTCTGAGTTCAATCCCCCACCGGGGTTCTGACCCACAGGGTACAGCAGACCTCTCCTGTCTCACCCACTGTTCCCCTCAGCAGTGTATTCAGTTGACCTGCCTGTTCTGCTCCCACTCTGTCTCTGCTCAGCTCCGCATCCCAGTTCTTGGTAGGAGGAATAACACATATGGACAGGAAGGTGAGGTGGGGTCTGCCATCTCTGGCAGAAAGATGGGATCATCTCTCACATCTATCAATTGACCACCAGTGGAGACAGTCAGTGTTCTTTTTTTAGCAGTGGTATTAAGGAGTAAATATACTCACCAAATCACTCTACTGGTTGTCACTTGGTGATACGGCAAATGAGAATGAAGCCTGAAGCATAAAAACAGACCTCCAAATTCATAGAGAGAAGGTGATTCACACAGTCTACCAGAAAAGCTAACTCATTCAGATACCTCCCCTTGGGCCTGAAATATAGAATTAGAAAAACTTAGCCTATGGAAATAAAGGGAGACAGGTCAGAATCCTAGAAAAGGACCAAGATTGGTGATCTACAGACCAGGTGGCTTTTTACCACATACTAATTCTGTGTCTCTGAACAATCAAAGACAAATTTCTTGGCCTCAGTTTCCTATATGTAAGTGGAAGGATTTTAAGCTTCCAGACATCTCTGTACCCCCTGCCTCTCCCAAAAGTGAACTTTATGAATCCGTCCAGAGAGCAATGTACAAAATGTAGAGACTTTCTTGGGGGTCACTGAAGATCTGAACAGGTGAGGCCAGATAAAAACAGGACCAGAAGAGGGAATCTCAAGTGGCATGCAGACTGGCCTAGAGTCCATCCTAAAGCTGGTACAGAACCTAGAGGCAGCAGTAATAGCAATTATCAAGAAGGTATAGATTTGCGTGATTACCAGGGAATCCTGTCAAGACTCAGAGTTTGGCTAAATGTTTTCAGGAAAACATGAGGCACTGATAACTAAATCCAAAGAATACAGACCAGGAAAGAATACAGAGATAGGAGTCCTTTGTGATTAAATATGATAAATGGGTGATTGTCTTCATGTATTTCTCTATGACGATTGACTACCAGAATTTGGAAAATACTTTAAAAATTAGAAAGAAAAGAATGTTAGTCCATATTCCAGATGAAGACAGACTTGTAAGTGCAGTAAAACCCACTATTTAAATGCTGATGCAATGGAATTGACCTTCCTGGACTTCAGTTCCCACACTGCCACCTAACTGCAACATGATCTGACAACTTAGTTCTCTTGTCTGAACCTGTTTGCTCATCTGTAAAATGGGGGTAAAAATAGCACCTACTTTCTTGGTTTGTTTTGAGTATATGGAGCAATGTGTGGAATGCATTTAGAACCAGTGTTTCGGCATTGCCAGTGGAGGCTTTTGTAATAGTATATATGGGCCCTTCCCTACAGGTTAAGGGAAGCACTAAGAAGCTAGCTGCAGCAGCTTTCGCATGGGTTCTATCTCACCCAGGGAGGTGACCCACATGGTGCAGCAGACCTCTCCTGACGTGCCCACTGCTCCCCTCAGCAGTGTACTTTGTCAGCCCACCTGTTCTGCTCCCCACTCTGTCTCTGACCTCTCACCCCCCCATACCTCTGGCCTGTACCCCAGTTCTTGTATGCATAAATAAATAAATCTTTAAAAATAAAGTAACAGTGGCCCTCCCTGGTGGCACAGTGGGTTAAGGCACTGCACTGAGAGGCTTAAGCCACTTCTGCATTAGTTCGATTCCATCCTGCCCCGGAGGTGATCCACCTGGCCTGGCAGACCTCTCCTGACCCGCCCACTGATCCCCTCAGCAGTGAACTTCGTCAATCTCTCTGTTCTGTTCCCCACTCTGTCCCTGGTGAATCCTCTCACCCTCCACATCTCTGGCCTGTATCCCAGTTCTGTATGAATGAATAAATAAATCTTTAAAAAAATAAAATAACAGTATATATGATATGATAGATATACTAATAAACCTGTGGTAATGTATTACAATGAAGTAAAGATCTTCTGATAGAGTTCTTGGGTGTATAAGGTGGGAAAGGAAAAATCAAATCACTACAAAACACTTTCTTCTGAGTAACTGCACAATAACCTGCTTGATTCCCAACACACCATCACTGTCCTAAATCCAACACGGTGCCAGGAGCTGTAGAAATAAACTGAAATCTAGAGAGAAAAACAGACCCCAGAATCCCAGCTCCAACATCCATAAGGGGGGCACCTGGGGAATGTTGCAGTTCAGCCAGAAAGCGTTGGCTACAGGGCCTAGGAGGTAAAGCTGTTCTACAAAAGAAATTAGGAAAATAGTTTCCACTGAGCGGGGGTTTGTTAAGACATCATGAAAAGGTGTGGAATCTCTCTCTCTTTGGAGAGCATTAATTGGACCAATCTTGTTCTGTGAGGAATGACCTTTAAGAGCAGCTGTCACTCAGGAAAAGCAATGAACTTCAAGGAACCCACCTTCCATGAAGAGCATTAATTCAGCTACATTGGTGAGTTAGAACCGCTGGCTTCTAAGGATGGCATTTCGCTTGGGACAAGTGGCCAGCTCTTGAACAGAAACACCCTCAAGGTTGGAGAGAAGCCCAGCCCCACAGATGGGAGCAGGAACTCCCCAGCCCCACAGATGGGAGCAACAGACCAGTGAGCCAAGGACTCCACTGCCACAGAGACCCTAATGCGAACTTTACAAAAAATGAGGAAGGACTTTTAAAGAAGGGAACCATTGTGGGCCAGGCAGGAAGCCAGGACGCCGGAGAGAGCCTGTTTCTCACTGCGGCGAGGGCTTCCCGGAGCTGGCGAGGGCGGTGGCGCTGCAGCAGGTATCCTGGGTTACAGATGTCAAGGTGCGGCCTCTGGAATCTCTTCCCGTCGCGAGATAGAAATGACTTTTCGAGAGCTGACGATGACAGAGAGGTCATTTGCATTGGACTTTCCCTATTTCCATTTCTCCTTTCTGCCCGCAAGAGTGGCTGGTCTGGGGCTGGAATACAGGCTCGGACCGGAAAGGGTGGGGGAAGCAGCCTCCCCCCCAAAGCTCCCGACTGAGCTGGAGGGTCCAGCCCGTGTGCTAACCGCCAGGAAGCCTCGAGCACTTCTAGGGACTTGGGCCCTCCCACCAGGGTGGCCTCCTTCCCGAGGGAGTAGGCGCAGAAAGACTCGGGGGTGCGGCCGGGGACAAGGCGCCCCTGGCCTCAGAATTCCTCAGGGGGCGAGGGAGGGGTCCAGGATAGTGGGCTGTGGGCTGGAGGCTCGGAAGCTGGGCTGGGAGGGCCCGCGGCGCGCGCGCGGGACATGGGCGGGGCAGGCGGCGCTGGGGTTAATGTCCGCTCCGCCCCAGCGGCACTGACTCAGTTTCACCAGAAACTACTGAGAGAAGGTGGCGGATGTCCAGCGCACCCGGAGCCTGGCGGAAGCGGCAGCTATAGCCGCGCAGGAAGCCGGGACCGGAACCTGGGCAGGCGGGCCCCACCCCACTCACCTGCGCAGGTAACTGGGACCCCGGAGCTGGAGCCGGAGGCGGAGCGGGAGCATGTTTGACCCTTTGTTCTGCGCTCCTGCGAGTATCTGGGTACGCGAGCTCCTTAGCCGTCCCTCTGGTTGGTGGTCCGATGGACGACCAGATCACGGGAGTGTACGTGGGAGGGTCGGATCCGCGTGCCCCTCTTCACTTTTGGGGTGCTGGGTGCTCCCCAGCCTTCCCCTTCATTACCTCCCTCCCAGCCCGACTTTCTTGAAGTCTTCCCAGCTAATCTGGTGTCTCGTCCTCCGTCCCCTCCCCTCTTTCAGGTTTCAGTCACCCTCGGAATCCAGGATCTCGCACTGTGAAGGTGACCCCCCTAGAGAAGAGGGCGACGGCCCCAGGGAGGACGATGGCCGGCGCCCGCGTCTCCCAGGCCCGCACCTCTGTGGTCGCCGTGTTGCTCTTGTGCGCTCTTGGCCTCCAGGGCACCGAGACGGGGCCACCACCTGGCCCCCCTGGGCTGCCTGCAGGAGCTGCCTGCCTGGACCGCTTTACCCCCGGGGTACCCGACTTTGTGCTGGATACTGACGCCTCAGTCAGCAACGGGGCCACCTTCTTGGGCTCCCCAGTCGTGCACCGCGGCTGGGACTGCGTGCGCGCCTGCTGTACCACCCAGAACTGCAATCTGGCGTTGGTGGAACTGCAGCCCGACGGCGGGGAAGACGCCATCGCCGCCTGCTTCCTCATCAACTGCCTCTACGAGCAGAACTTTGTGTGCAAGTTCGCGCCCAGAGAGGGCTTCATCAACTACCTCACGCGGGAGGTTTACCGCTCCTACCGCGAACTGCGGACAAAGGGCTTTGGAGGTAAGGCTGAGGGTGTGGATTTAGGGAGACTCGGAAAGGGGGTTGGCTATGGAGTCCTGGGGGAGGCGAGCATCAGAAAGGAATTAAAGAAGAGAGTCCAGTTCTATCTACTCCTCCTTTGAAGCAGGCAGTATAAATAGTAAAGAAAGAACAGACTATTTGAGTGGGGAGGGGTGACATTGTAGAATACAGACTCTGGCCTCTGAATTGAGGTGTTGATGGACTGGTTCTCTGGTATGTGTGTATGGGAGAGACCTGGGAGCTTCTCAGGATCCCCCACGAGTCTGATATGCTGAGTCAAGGGAGTGAATCTGGTCAAGCACTGGCCTAGGCACCTGTCAGTGAGGCTAGTGAATGAGTCCCTTCCCCATGACTGAATCAAGACTCTTGGTTAGCATCTCTCTGCACCCCTGCCCTCAGTGTTAGCCTTCTGATGGTCTGAGAAAAACTTTCAGACCTCAGATATTAAAGATTAAAGAATGAGCCCAGCCTGGGGTTGACCAAAAAGGGGAGAGGGTTGTGTTAGTGTTGTGGACACAGTAGCCTGAAGGCTGCGGGTGGAGGTGAGGAGGGTTGCTGAGTGAGTCAGTTCACTGGTATGTGTACCTGGTAGGGGAAGGATGTCAGCTGTTCAGGCAGGTGTGCAGGCGGGCATGCCAGCCAGGCAGGACTCTACCTCCTTAGAATCTGGTAGCCAAGTTGTCTGCCCAAGTGTTTACCTCCAGAATAAGGACATGGTGGGGTGGGAGGAGCCAGAGCTCCCCCTTCCCTTGGCTGAGCAGTCAGTTGAAATCAGAGACCCTCTCAAGAACTTCTTCCTCATTCTCTCCTTTTCTGGCCAGGTGGGGCTCCTGGGTAGGGATGGGTCTGGACTGATAACCTCTTTTAGCACTTCACAGTTTACTGATTGCTCAGCCACTCAGCCCCTTTCTCAGGCCTTGTGACAACCACCTCCAAAAAGGGCACTATTAATAGTCATCCCACCTTATGGGTTAGAAACTGGCTTCCATATTAAATAGTTTGCCCAGGATAAAACTCCCCACAAATGGGAAACCTAGGGCTCCAGGCAAGCCCTCCAAAAGTCCTGTGCTATTTTCCACACAAGATTGCCTTTCTGGTGGAAATCTAGCTCTCTGACCAGAGACAACAGATTGAATGACAGAACCAGAGACTGGGGAGCCCAGGCGTCAGGACTGGGCTAGGGCTGAACCTTGTTCTTGTTATAATTCTGGCAAGTAGAGAAGGGACTTTCCTCTCCAACCTTCTCCTGGGCCAGTCTCTCTTCCAGGTTAAGGGCCTATGCTTCTCTCCTTCCTTCCAGTAGCTCTTCTGGGTCACTGAAGAGAGTGGTATGGGGGCTCTTAGAGTCTGAGGACCTGAGCCTGTTCCACAAGGAAGTAGCAGAGTGTAGGTGGTGATGACTGTAATTGACCTGAGCTGCCTGTGTCCTTCCTGCTCTGACTGAGAGGCCCCATAGTCCAGCCCCTAAAGCTCTGAGGTCTGGTCTGAGAGCTGAATGGGACTAGGGCACCAGCCTTCTTCATCCAGCAACCCCACCCCCCACCCCCAGATTGACCTGTTTGTCTCGAACTGGGACTGAGTGGGGATTTCCTGGGGCATTTAGGCAGCTGGGTAGGGCTTGGACTGGGTGTGAGTACCAAACCATTCTCTGGGCACTGCAGTGATTTGGGCAGTAGGGGGATGCCATTCATTCCCAGTTGAATCTGGCTAGAGGTTGGATAAGCAGAAGCAAATGATACAGCCATTAAGGTATCTCAGGTGCTAGACTAAGTAGATCTAGCTGGCTAGATGGTGAGGGAACTCAGGGCTTCTAAACCTTTGATTCGTGTTGGGTAGTGAAATCCTCCCTAGCATGGGTTTGTTTGTTCCCCCTTTTCCAGCCTAAAGCCAGTCCTGGGCAGTCCAGGCCAGATTCTTGGTCTCGGAAGCACCCAGCTCCCTCCTCTTAACCCCTTCCTCTGCCCTCCGCCTCCTTATGTTGGAGGTGTGGCTTAGGAGGAAGGCCTGAGTTTCCTGGGAGAAGCCCAGAGGCCTGGTTGGTGGGGGAGGGGCTGACTTTTCTGCAACTTTGGCCCTTTGATCTAGGAGGTGGGGGGAGGGAAGGAGTGGTTAGGCCAGACTTCTGCCTCTTGTTCCTGGGGACTGGAGCTGGAAGAGGACCCTGTGGGTGTCCTGAATTGGCCTAAGATCTGACCCGTCACTGGCCTGCCACTTCCACCCTAGGGCCTGCCCTGCTAGCCTGCCAGTCTGTTACATAGGGCTACCAAGTTGTTTTCTCTTCTAGATTACTGACTATTTTACGAAAAGTGCAAGGAGGGAGAAACCAGCTCCTCCCAACTCTGATGGGCTGTTCCTGATGACAGCCCAGTCACTGGACTAGGGGTTGCTTCCCAGGAGGCCCTTTCCTGCTTTCCCTCCACTTCCGATCCCCTTTTTCTTGTTGGGCTCTTCTTCTTGATGAGTTTCTCTGAGAAAGCTCCGTATTTCCATCCCTTGGCTGTCTTGTGTCTTGGTCCTTTGACCTCTATGACACCCTCTGTGAGGCCCCCCTTGCTCTGCTTTCTCTGCCTCATCAAAGAGGAATGCCTATGACTCAGCCTGTTACCAGCTGTTCTTATCCTTACCTTCTCTTCCTTTGAACTTGCTTTTACAATTGACATGACCCTCTCTAGAGCCTCTGTGCAGAGCAGGTTGGCAACATCCATCAGAACTAAATGCACATAACCCTCTCCACAATTGCACTTGTAGCAGTTCATCTTACATCCCTACACATGTGTCAAACAACTTACCAGCCAGTTGTCCACTGGAGAGTTGCTTATAATAGCAAAGAATTAGAAACCATCTCAATGTCTGTCAAAGCATATAATTGGATACTGTCATGCTGTTTGAATAAAGACAATACACCCTGAGGCAGCATGGGTTTAATTCTTCCTAGGCAAAAAAGGTCTAAACCAAGAGACGGGTAAACTGATTAAAAAATTGTAAGTTATGGTACGCATACAAATGCTATGCAGTTAAACAAACAAACCAAAAAAAAAAAAACTATGGCTTGCTGTGGGGTGATTCTAAAATATGTTATGGGAAACATAAGAACTGGCGTGTTTATTAATGCAGTACTATATGTTGTACTACTTCCACGCACGTGAACTAGTGAAAGTGGATGTATCTGGAGAGGAGAACCTGGTGGATTAAGGAGAAAAAGGGAGATAATTTTTACTACCCTTTTGAACTTTAAAAATTTTATATCATGTACATGTATTACCTACACTAAAAACAAAAACCCCATGATCATAAGAGCAATCAAAATCACACCTCTAGATAGCACATGAGTTACGGAGTCAGGCCAGGGTCCAAATCCCATTTCAGCCATTTAGAATGACCCTGGGCAGTCATTTAACCTCTCTAGTGTTTCTCTTGCAATCTGGAGAGAGAGGTGAGAAGCAGTTGTGACAAGGTGGGGGCAAGCAGGCAGGTCAGGAACCAGCACGCTTTCTGTAAAGATTCACAGGTGACTCTTCTAGGCTCTGTGGGAGTAAAGCTCTCAGCGCTGCTGCTGTAATGTGCAAGCAGCCACCACAGTAGATAAATAAGATGTGTCCTTGTTTATGGACACAAATTTTACCTTTATGTACAATTCACATGTCATGATTCCTTTGATTTTTTTTTTTTTTTTTTTTTTTTTTAGAAATTAAAAAATAAACCTAGGAGGTGGGGGGAGGGAAGGAGTGGTTAGGCC